AACATCGTCCATTGTATTGTGAATGGATCGATTGCTTTTTTCCAGATTTCATGGTCCCTATTCCACAGCGGCGCGTTAAATGACTTAACACGTAGTCCCTGCGCTCAACATCTCCTCCTCTCGTGTTCAAATGGAATCATTAGGTGAATTCTTGGCGGACATTAGCCTAGCCTGCTGCTGTGGCCATGAACATGCCTCCTCGTCCCTAGCCTATTTGGTGAAATTTTCCAATGTTTGAGCGAAGGTTTTTCCGAAAACTGAGGAGGTAGAGGGAAATCTCTTTACTGTTGTAGAGTACGCTTACTTGAGTGTAGAAATAAGATGACATACTTGCTTGTAGACGAGCGCTTCCGCCGTGCTGTGGCTGTGAAAATGCCTCTCGTCATGCCCTTGTGGAAAGATCAGATTTTTTGCATTTCCAGATGAACTCGCAGACCTGAGATGTGCCCCATTGGATTCCCCGTGAAAAATGCTATCGAATGATATGCATTACTCCTCCCAGTTGAAACTTTGGTTTTTCACCGTTTTCGGCCTTTTCCTTATCGCCGATCGCCTTCCTCAGCCCTGGCCACCCACGTGCTATTCACGTGCGCGGTGCGTGGTGACTTTCCCACGCACTTTCGACACGCATAGCGGTGTATCGATCGGGCTGCCCGCCAGCTACCGAGAAAGGCCATCGGCTGTCACGTGAGCTCTCACGCACCGCGCACGTGAATAGCACGTGGGTGGCCAGGGCTGAGGAAGGCGATCGGCGATAAGGAAAAGGCCGAAAACGGTGAAAAACGAAAGTTTCAAGTGGGAACTGAGATGTATATCGTTCGATAGCATTTTGCATGGAGAATCGAATGGTGTACACCACAGCTCCGTAGAGCCACCTGGAAGACCAAAAAATCTGGTTTTATTTCAGGGCATGACGGAGAGCGATGTTTGAGGCCACACCAGGGAAGAAACACTCGCTCAAGCCCGAGTATATCATCTTTTTCCAACATACAAGTAAACTTACTCTACGATAGGAAAAGAGAGTTCGTCCCTCCCTTCTCGAATTTCCTCAAAACATCCCTTCGAAAATTGGGAAATGTCACAAAATGGATCTAGTGGCAGGTAAACTAGATGTTCTCCAGAAAGTGAGTTGTATACCGTTCGACAGTATTTTTTATGGGGAATTGAATGGTGCACATCTCAGTCTTCTATGTTCATCTGGAGAACCAAAAAAAATCTGATCATATCGCAAGGGCATGACGAGGTGTGATGTTTGGGGTCACACTACGGAAGGAAGACTCACCTGCCACCAAGGTTTCTATGTAATTCCTACAGACAAGTAACCGTAGTCTACGTAGTGAAAAAGGAAGGAAGGCGCTGCGCAAAATAAAATAGTTTACGACAAGTAGAAGAAAAATTCGTTCGCGCCTATCACAAGCTGTCCTGCTACGATAAAACATGGAACAAGTCGACAAAAATGGGGGCGAGGTGTGATGTTGTGGGGGCCACACTACGAGATAATGAAATGATCCATAATTTGACGTAATTGAGCGCAAACATTTTTTTCAGGGGGGGGGAGAAATAGTTTTTTATTGTAAACCCCAGTAGGCAAAGTTTCGACGAAAAAATGAAACTTTGAGATTTTGGGGCAGTAATAGTGGAATAATGATGCCCAATCGGCAATAGGGGAAGGTCTGAAAACGGTGAAAAACCAGAAATTTCAACTGGGAGGAGTAATGCATAACATTCGATAAATAGGCAGTTTATTCACAGAGGAAAAAAAAATTTTCCCCATGGAGGCAACATCCTCAGGACTGGCGAGTTAAATCTGGGGAATGCAAAAAAATCTAATGCTTGTCCACAAGGGGACATGAACGAGGAAAGGCAATTAATATCACAGCCAACAGCACGGCGGATAAAAGTCGCTCGATCATTTTAACAAGCAAAGTACTGTACATCTTAATAATTCCACAACAATCAAGATACGCGAGATCATACAACAATGAAAAAGAGAATTTCCCAATCTACCTCCTCAAGTTATCGGAAAAAACCTGTCGCATCAAAACAAATATTCACCAAATTAGGACAGTACGGCGAATCAGAGGACAATGTTCAATGGACCACAGCACAACGAAAGAGGGGCGGTCATGCTGCAGCATGAGATGGTGATCTTATTTCCACACTACAAAGTACGACGAGTACTACATATAGACAATGAAGAGATTATGCCCATCACCCTCCTCAGTATTCGAAAAAGAACCTAAATCAGCATCAGAACATTAGGAAATTCAACCGAAATGAGGCGATAAAGGGCAGAGGAGGCATGTCATGGACCACAGCACGCAGGAAGCTCGGTTCATCTGACAAGCGAGGGTGAATTGAATCTTATAATTCCTAACACAACAAAGTAAAGAGCGTTCACATCCTACCAATAAGAGGAGAAATTTCAGCACGTCAAACAACATCTAAGATGAATTCACGAAAAACACTATACGCATCAAACGATAATGAGAAAGAAAAATAATTCACAAATAGGACCATTAAAATGACACAGAGAACAATTCAAAAACTAATGATAATTACCATTTGAACGAACGAGGGGAGGAGATTTAAAGCTGAAATAAAGAAGACAGGAGATGAGAAAAGGAAACTACGTAGTTAAAAGTCAGTTTGCCGCGCCGCTGATTAAATAGAATGGCGAAGAAACACATGGAAATCTGACGAAAAAGACAAAGTCGATCACAAATTCACAAAATTTACAAATCGAACGATAGATTGATACGCAGATACAAGCAGTATACTGAAGGGCCAAACTTGAATTAGAAGACAATACAATCAACAATGAATAAAAAGAACGAATATTCAATGCATAAGAACAGGAAATAATATATTAATGCAGCCAACAAAATAAAAACCCACACCACATTCAAAACAGTGTATTTCTACAAGCAAAATCGAAAGTAAGCAATGGGCGCAAATCTGAAGTGAAGGCTTTCAAAGATTATAAAAAAAACACATTCATATAAAAATCGACGAGCTGAAGTTCTGACTTTTTTACAGAATTCAAAGAGAAAATCATAAAAATTCTGAAAAAAAGCCGAAAGATACATATAACGAAAAAAAAGGGAAAAAGGAAAACAGCGAATTTAGCGTTTTTCGCGTGATTTTTTATTCAAACTTGTTATTAATACGGCGTAAAGTTACACGTGGAACGAGTACGTAGTCCATACATGGTTAGACTCGCCACAGAGAGACGAGTCCAATGGTGTAGAGCACCAATCATTTGACCCGCTTTGGGGGGAGTTATGAAGGGGCGACGCTTTGCGACGCTGCAAATCCGTCGCTCAGCGGAGAAATTTCAAAAGTTAGTGGCGGTATTGTATAACGTCCATCTTGCAGGCACCGTCATGAGTCAAGCGGGAGCCAACCGATAAATACGCATGGGGCTGATATAACGTAATTTCTTGTAATGAGAATTAAATTTGTCAAATAACTATCAATAGAGACACCGGATGTCCGACCCAGCTGTGTGAGAGGTTAGACACTCTATTGAAGTTTAGGCGCACCATGAGATGCAGGCCAAGATGCAGGTCTTTTTTAAAGGGGGGACGTCATCAAATAGGACGGACAACGAAGATAGCAAACCAAAGATAGTTTCTGGGGGACAGTTACTGGTAGTTCTTGTGTTGTTTTAGAAGCAAGTAACGAAATTGAAGACGACCTCAGTTTAGATGTATGGAAAAGCTTGATAATCAGCGAATACTCTCTCCAAAACAAATGAGAGCGCACACCGGGTTGACAGTCCCTATTTCGCAACTGGAAGGTCCAGCAACATGAGGACCCCACATCCCTACTTGGTCTTCTTCTTCAGAAAAAATGCCTGTTGTGAAGAGAAATAATGCCAGAATAAGCAACGAAAGAAAAAGTTAACATAGGTCAGAAAATTAGTGCAGAAAGTTGATCATCAGGGTGTCCACATAGCTTTTGATACAAACGAAAAAATTTCCATCAAAAAATCGTTTGCTAAACTATACAAAACCTTTTGCCCAAATTGTCATTGATAAGGACGAGGACGAGGATTAGAAAGTGTGTGAAGGAAAATTCGATGGGCGAAAACGGCTTTCAGCCTGAAACCATGAAATGTCGATTTATATGGGGGATTAGACCAGTTACTTTTGGTTATGTCACTGTTTATTGGGGTGGCTAAAGGGAAAAAGCAGTCACAGGCCGTAGGGTGCTGGCAGGCGTTTTGATGAAAATTTACATGAGGAAAAGTATCAGTAACTACCACACTCACAAGGGTGGATGGAGTTGACGGTTTTTTTTTTTGAGATATTCAGCAAATGTGTGACACAGGGAAAAATCGCGCCGCAGCTGCCGTTGAATCGACCGTTGATCGATACACTCGGCTGTTGTAATTTTGCGTATGCTCTGTTTTAGGGGGGTCGTGCCAAGTCCTCGATCTCAGGGGGGTCGTACTTCTGCGACCACGTCCTCGACACGATTCTCACCCTGATCGGCACCCTGTGCGACGAAAACTTCGATGATGTGCGCCATGGGCAAAGTGTCTCTTTTTTGGCCACCCCTTATATGCTACATATAATATATACGCAATTTTTATATTGCGCCAATTTTGCTGAAACCTACGTGTGCGGCTTACCTTGTGGCGCTGTAGTGCATCAAACTACCGTAGTCATATGTTAAATTATAGTTGTTATTAGTTTTCCTCGTCTCTTTTTCATACTGATAGCGCTGATTATGCTGAAAGCATAACTTTAAATTCCGCTCACAGCATTGACAAAGTCTACCTCGATATTTTTCATGAAAACTTTGACAAATTGATTACGATCGTATCTTTGGTGCGTATGCCAGAAGCCGAGGGCATGACCAATCTCGTGAGCAGCGTGTCCGATCTGCAAAAGAGCAAACAAATGGCGAGCATCGAACTAAACTCAGAGAAATGTGGTCTTCTTCTCTGTGGTCTTCTACGTTCGTAATCATGCGAGTGCCATGTCACTGTCTCAGTGAAGGAATACCCTATCGCAGGTATCCCCAAGTGAGAGGAGCTGCCAATCACCCTGTCTGCCCACATCTGACCAACATCCGTTTCCGCTGATCACAAGAATAAGGTCTTCAGCTGAAATAATAACATTAAAGGGTGTTGCCACCATTTCGAATTCTTTCATTTTTCACCTTCTTGTTCTTTATCTTCCTTGAAGTCGATGCATGTGTTCTCCATCCATAATGGGCCGCTTTTTCGAAGAGTTCTCTGGTCTTATTAGCTGAAACTATGAAGCAAAAATTAGTCGCTTTGCCTGCTAGTGAGAGGAAATTTGTTTCTTACTCCCACACGGAAGAAGAGACTGAAAACTAACGTAAATCACAATCAAATATGTAGATACGCCATTGGGCCACCTCCTGCCAGGGTAGCTTTTGTCTCTGTAAGCTTGTCGTTTGAAAACGACCAACTTTAATATTCGCAAGAATTCCTTCTTGTCGTTCCCTAAAAGCATTGAATTTTTTTCTGACAATTGTTCGAATGAAGGAAGAACGGACCTTGAAGGTACCACATCTCCCTGGTACAAATTGTTCACAACTCCAGCTTCCGCATTGATTTCTTCAATCGAGTTCTTCCATGGCTTCACTCGTTCGTTAGTAGTTCTATTCTCACGCAACTATAATATGCGACAGTCACCCGCTTAAGAGTAATGCTCTTATTACTGTCTTTTCTAACCATCAATCTTTCTTCAAGCTCTTTTGTTTGCTGTGCAGTTAAAGCGAGCTCCTCCTCTATCGCTTCCTTTAAATATCAACAACAATTTATGAGGAGAGCTCCTATATTCTGAATGAAATTTCCCACATCAAGAGAGTCAATTTCGATGCTGTTCCTCCTTCTTTTTTCACTGAGAGCTTTCGGGCGTCCATTTGTGTCAGATCTCTCGAAGTTGAAATAGTCAGCGCACACCAGAAGCAGAACGAATTCAAGAACCCTCATCGTAAAGTGAAAAATCAAGGAATTTTTCCACAGAGTATGAAATGGACCAACTGCGACTGAAAGCTCTTCCCTGAATAGATGGTTTTTGTTTCTATATTTGCTCGTTTAGCATCACAATCCTCACTCTTTTCCATTTATATCCGTTAAGAAAGTGAAAAATGTGAGATAACATTGGCAATGCAATGCATTATGATTCACAGGTTTATCCCAGCGATCTGTCGCGCGCAGCACTCTGTAGGCTTCAGTGAAACTAGGCAGCCTGTGGAAAATCAGTTCATACAGTAATAGGCAAGAGTGCTCCTGAAAATGCTCGGCCGATGCGTGTGCAGGTTTGATTGAAACTTGCCCATGATGCGAGGGTAGCGGTGAGTTGGAGCGCTACATCTCACAATTCTAGAAACACCCAGCATTGATTTTCTGATCAGACACTTGAGCGGTTGAACAGCTTTCATTTCTATTGGTGCGGGACTTTTTGGCGACGATATTTCCAAGAAATTTTCTTTCGTTTGCTGCGTTGTTGCACATTCTTGAAAAGCACATTTCATTCTCTTGCTCACACTGCTGCTGTATTTGGGAGAGACTCGAGCATTACCTTTTTTTTGAGATTTGAATCCTAGACGTCAAAGCAGGGTCAACCGTCCGTTGGACAAAGTCCAACGCATGGCTCTCTAGCGTGTGAGAGTAATGCCGAGAGTGAACGTACGCACGGAGACACAGACGGCTCGCGCAAGGCGAGTGCGAATGCCGGCGCGGAGAGCGGTCAACGTCGGTCCAACGTCGGTCCAATGTCGGTCCAACGTAACGGTTGACCCTAAGGCGTCAAAGTAGTGGTTTGAGCAGGTTCACTTCTATGAGTTGAAATTTGGAGAGGGTGCTGTGCGGACAGCTCGGAATAGGATTGCTGTGTGGGGCTAAGGATGTTGCAATAAAAGCACACTGCTTCGATGGCTCCGAAGCTTTCAATGTTAGGGAGCTCTACATTCAAAGTGAGGCGGGGGGAGTCACGGACGACATTCTCTTTCTGAACGGCAGTCTTCCGAAAGCAAGGCGAAAGAAGATAACAAGTGTGCGACAGCCAGCAGCAGAATTTTCCGTAACTGTAACTTTTCCCGCTGAATAGAAGCAGTCCAACTTTCAATATGTTGTGAGGGTAAGCCTTTTTCGATGAAATAGTGTATTATTGTTCAATGGATA